TTATATTGCTGAAACCGAATCTGATTGGTTACCATTGATATAAAGGCTCCAAGCGGAATCAGAACATTCATCAACGCTCCTCTTTCAAGTGATATTACTCACTTTTTGGTGAAAATTGGTAGAAAAACGTGCATCTTTATTCCCCACAAGAGATATATAACCGCCCATACCATTGCCCCTTTTTTTTTTCTAAATTATTATTTAATCCGTGGACTGATTTTATGCCTTATTATCTGAGCTCAGTTGTTGCCCGATATCTCAAGTAATAGAAGTGCTTATTTCAGTTTCAAAATAAAAAGTAATCATAAATTGTAGAGATTCACATTACAATCAGATAATCCACGCTTCAAATATTATAAAAGTTAACAAATGTTGTAGCAAAGGCTATACTCACTCAAAAACATGCCTAAAACCAAGTAAAATATGTTACTTGTTGGAAGAATAAGAGTTTGAGTATCAAGTCCAATATACCAAACGTGCTGGTATCTTTTGGACTAAATGATTGGTCTTTTTTATTCTCGAAAAATAATATACCTTGCCAATAATGAACTAGAAACTTTGAATCTCTTTACATTCCATTATACAGGCGTATTACATCAAGCTTGGCCAGTGTAATTTCAAGGTCTTTACTCTCTCTGTCCCTCCCTGGAGGAAAAACAGGGGTTGGGGCCGGGTTTTGGATGTCAAAGCTCATGAATGTTCCTCCACGTATTTTTATCGAAAATGATCCACCAACAACTAGTAACCTTTGTTTCCACGAATTCGGGCTCGCATGTCAACCTGGAAGAAAGTGGGGAAATTTACACGGTTAAAGTAGGAGCACAAGTAAATTTAGCATCAATAACTCAAGATCCAGGTCAAGACAGAAATCACCGTGAAATAAGTAATTTAGTTTCCGAGAATCTTCATAAAAAGAAACATACAACTTGGTCAGATCTTTCTAACCAAAAGTTGCACAAAGAAAGAATGGCAGTTTTCTTGTTTTTACTTTTTTACTTGATGCCATCTCATAGATGAACCTTCAAACGTGAACAAAGAAATAAATAAATGCAGTTTCCTTACTTTCCAGCACCATGCGTGGTAAATGACTGGCGTAACAGAAAATGCGGACCAGTTATAGCGTTCACTTCTACTTTTAGGTCGTATCTTAATATCTTATGCTAATGATTGGGATCCAGGAAATAAAAAATTGTTTGTGATAATTTACGTTGGAAACGAAAAATTGACTATGCCACTCAAACTTCTACAGATTAATTAGCTTTTTTTAAAACAAAGTTACAAACGAATTAGAACCTAAATTCGCTAGAAGTATAACCATCAATGCTACAAATGATATACATATTTAATATGTAATTAACAATCAACTAAAGGCAGAAGAATAGTACGATATTGACAGAGTAATTTTCTGTAATACAATAAGTTTTCTGAAATAGAAATTCTGACAAATAATGCTCTGAAAATGTGGATCTGCAACAGTGTTCACCTCATTATATGATATTGATTTAGGACCCAGAAGCAGCATTCATGATAACTTAACATAGTACAAATGAAGAAAAAATTGAAAATTTTGCTTAATGTATTATAATTTAATGATTATGGACAGATCGTCTTCCGTTGCTACTACGGTTTGTACACTTAATGGGTGATTAGTCACACAAATATTGATTTCTTTCAGAAGGAATATTATGATTTGTCAAAGGGACCAAGAAACTTACAAAGCAAGTAGTGTCATGCACTTGGCCTTCTTTTAGAAGTTGGAGATATGAAATTATGGTCAGAGGTTGCAAATGGAAACAAAAACTCTCACAATTTTAAATCCATTTGGGAACATTATTGTCAAATTCTTGAACTTACAATCTGTTAAAGCAAAGATTCTAGCGATGCTGATGCATCTTAATTGGTCCAAAAATTTTAAACACCATCCACACTATTGCCACATTTAACACCAACTAATGTCGAATAATCAAAATAATAAATCTGTATCTGGCTCAAAACTTTTAAACACCAAACAAACTTTTGCCCACATGACACAGCACTAATGTTGAACATTTTAAATGCCATCGGATACTCCTTTTAGACATCCCCGTTAATCATAGGTCACACCAAAAAGAAGGTCATTCTTCTGACTTATGAAAATTGAAGTTTAGCATAAATAAGAGGTAGTTCTGAGAAACTGGAACACACACACACCCAAAAAAAGCAGCAATTCCTCTACACTTCTGTAGACCTTTCCGGTTATTTTCCATTTCAAATTCTCAAGAGAGGAGGCAATGCTAACAAACACGAGCAAATAATTAAATAATGGCCTAGAGCTGGATATCGTAATAATGCAAATGGCACAAGACAGTAACAGAATTAGGGAGGAAAGTCATCAGAATGGAGATTTGCATAATTGAGGAAGGAAGAAAAAGAATACAAGAATTGGATGGGAAATGGAACGTGGTAAGAACTAGGGTAAAGGGTATGGTATTCTAGTGATATTACATGTAACTTAATACCAGCTGGGTATGGGATTTCCATCCCAACTTAGTTGATTGTCAATCCCAGGACCCACCCTGATCCCTGGTCAAAGTGTTTTTTGTGGAGTCAATTCAGGTATGGATAAGAAAAATTGTCATCTCTAAATACATTTTTTTCACCAGCAATATGCACCAATTTTTGTTTTCATTAAGATTTCTAAAACAAACAACAATGCAAAAGGCCATTCAAACTGTGCAAATTATTTTTCAGGATGCAACCTAGCGTAAGAAACGATGCTCTCAAAAAAAGTCAAACTATCGTGATATATAAGAGCCAGGATCAAAACCATCCCCATCCTTGAAAATACAAATGCAAAAACAAATCCATTTATTCAGGGCTCGTGCCAAACAACTAAAGCTCACCATTGATTTGTGCTTAATTCAATGTCTACTAAAAGACTTATCATAATGTTTCAGACAAAAATACTGTGACTCATATAATTAAGAAAAAAAAGTATACAGCAAATCTTAGAAAACACTCTTTTCAACAATTAAAAATAATCAAGTTGCATTCAAACTTACAAGTATAAAATGCTCCACACAAACAGAAGGTCAAATATCAGTATCTTGAGAAAACACATTGAAGTCAATTAACAAACTCAGTTATGCCATGACATTTTGCAGAAAGGAAGCTACATATTACATAATCCTTTCCTTAACATGTAAAAGAGAGAGAGATCCTGCATAAAGAAAGAAGGCATACCTGGCCCCTCTTGCAATTGAAATATGTTTCTCTTAGTCCCACACACTCGCTTGAAATTTGCGGGCTCTGCTCCTTGGCACATTCTCTATAGGGCCGGTTCTCCACCTACATTAATTCATTTCCCCTCGAATTATTTCAAGTTTCAGTAGTAAGAACCAAGACCACCGATTCAAGTACCCTAACCTCTGAACACACAAAATCAACGCCCAACTACAACATACACAATGATTCGAGCTCAATGAGTTTCAAATTTAGGTAAAATCTATTCATTTAGCCACACAATTTTAGAATTCTTCGTACAAAAATTTCAGCAAATTGAAAGAAAAAATTAAAAAAAATTAAAATATATATATACACACACACCTTAACACAGTCGGATTCACTGAGGCATTTGACGAGTTCCATAGCGAGTCCCTTGCAGGATTTGGCCATATCTAGGGCAATTTTTTCTTCCTCGTAAATCGTAATATCCCTCTGCCGGTTTCTTCAGCGAGGTTTATGGTTTTATTATTATTAGCGAAGTTTTATGATTATTATGTGAGTTGGGTCAGTTCAGTTGGGCCGTAGTTGATGTGGTTCAATACGTAGAGGTTGAAAAAATACCTTTAAAATTAGGGATGCTTTAAAAAATCATATGAAAAGTTTTTAGACAGTAAAAATATTGTGTAAAATGAAATTTTTTATAAAAAATGGTCAATTTTTTACTTTTTTAAAAAAATTGACACAAACTTAAAAAAAGTGACAAAACTAAAAAAAAAATGACACATACCAAAATAGCACCATTCATTTGGGCATCACTAGTAATCATATTCTTAAAATAATCACCACGTTCAGGCCAATCCACATGCTGATTATGTTAGGAATATATAACATATTATTTCATTTTTTTTCTTCTTAAAAAGTGACAAAAGCTTAAAAGGTGACAAAAAACTAAAAAAGTGATAAAATTCAAAAAAATGATAAATTTTAAAAAAGTAACGAATTCAAAAAAGTGGCACAAATTAAAAGAAGTTATACAGATTAAAAAAATAATAGACAATAAAAAAAGTGACACACTCAGAAAGTGACACATTAAAAAAAAGTGACAAAAATAAAATTCAGTGACTATTTAGGGTATTAACCCACCGAATTTCTAAATAAGTTCGCACTAAGACTACCATGTAAAACCACTAACATGATCAATGACCCCCACCAAATTTATTAACAATAGACAACATCTATCATCATATAAATAAAATAAAGGGGAAAAAACCAAGTCCCACAAATCATAAAACGGGAATAGAGTCATCATTTTGATACGCCAAAACACATTAAGTCCAGTAAAGACAAGTACATTCTGAGATGAGTTTGGTACGACATTAGTAGAAGCCATTTATAAGAGGTTGTGGTTGATGACTCACAACTCTCTAACTCTCAATGTTTGATAACTCACAACTCTAAATTCTAATTCTCTCAACTTTGCTCTCATACTACTTTGAAAGTGTAGAAATCTCAATCAAAAAGGAATATATCAAATACCTTCCATTGCCCTTTCCAGCAGGGGAAAGGGAGACAAAAATTTGGTTAAAAAGCAACTCAACTTAAGCAAGTTGAGCCGCTTGAGATACATGCAATGGTAATATTTCCCCAACCCACTATACAGTGTATTCAGACAATGCATGTACAACCTTCCTTGTCCCAACCATGAAGACGAAGACCAGCCTTTCTCAAGCACTGTACGTTAGTGCCAAGAAGGAGAACATTCCACAATGAGGATTTTCTGACATCCAAAAATGCATCTAAGATTCCAAAGAATCAAGATATCCATTTTGTTCTGCTGGTTCCTGCGAACTCGAATCTGGAGTTGTCTCCTTGTCCTTGGGAAGGGATCGAATTGGAACGTAAACAAATCCTTTAGGTAGCCACTGATTCTTCATAGATGCTTGATCTGATGTCATCACCAACTCTTTTGCCAAAGTTTCAGTATGTTTTCTATATTTTGAACGCTTTTCCGTATCATCCGAAACATACTGTGACACAACAGAAAGTCTCTGCGGAATTTGCTTCCCAGAAAATGAAATCCTCTCAATAGATTTTGGCGTTGAAAGGTTTTGGGGTATAGAACTGTCATCTGTTTTTTGTCATTGTCCGTGGACATGGGAAGCTTAACTCGCCTTTTACCTATAGTTGTGCTCTCTACTGTCACATCATCTGCTATTTGCACTACTCCTTAATATTTTTGCGAGACTCTCTGACACATAATAACAAACACTTAGCGGGCATGATCTGTATAGACTAGATCAACTTCAAATCTAGAACAGAAAAACCCAACTTATTTCCTAAACAATAACAACAAACACAATAAAAAAAATATTAAGTCAAAACACAGCCTCGAATTGGAATTAATTTCCAACAGAGTATTCACAGGTGCAAGTTCAAAGGTATGCCTTGATTATTGTGGATTTGGGGAATTTACAATGTTTTTATAAGTCACATTTTGTTTCTTTTAACTAGACCAATTTGTGAGTGTTTATACGGATATGTTCCTAAATCACAGAGTGAATGGGATGTGCTTGACTGGTTCAGTGGATGTGTGAGGGGGACTCCATTGAGTTGCAGTCACCAAAACACCCCTCTTTCCCTGGAGCTACGGCGGCTACTCTGTCTCTCTTAGCTTCGGAACTTCGCTGCAGACTCTGTCCTTTGTCATGGACACAGGTAGTAGCGTAGTCTGGTTCCATAACATCTACTCGTGGCCTTGATCTCATATTACCCACTAGCAAGCTTAAAGTGCTCGGCCCAAACCCGCACCTCAGGCTCAGCCTCGGAGTCTTCATCTTTGTTGGTTCAAGCAACTTCTTCATGTGGTGGGTCAGGTTTTTTCCTTGCAAGAACATTGGAGTCGAACTCGAAATTGGGAACGAAGGTGTCTAGGAGTTTTCTAGTTCACGGGCTTCCTCCTTCTAATTTTGATTTTCTGTTTTTTGAGGTTTGGAAGTAATTAATACGGTAATCATAATTTTATTTAATTTGAAGGATATAAATCAAAAATGTATTTTTTTTAGGGCAGTGAGCCAAATTTTCCCTTCATTATTTGACAAAATCAAAGTTTTTAATAGTAAATTTTTAAAGAATGTATAATTAAAAAGTATGGAAAAAATTTAAATTTACGTACAAAATATTTTATAGTGTAAACGTGTGATTGAAAATGAATATGTAGAATAAAGAATTTTGAAATAATAATAGAATTAAAAAATAAAAAATCTCTCATATCCCACCATTTATGTCCAATTTGTTGTCTTTTATATTCTTGACCTCACCTCACCTCACCCCACCCCCTCTTTCAAGCATCGTACACATCCCAAATTTTTAAGAATTTCTCCCATCTCTTCCATCATAATCTTCAAAATCTCACCTAGTGTCTTTAATTTTTTGGTTATTATTGTGTTGTGATCAAAACCTTAACCTCAATTCAAAAATTCCATTTTTTTTTTTAACAACATATCACCCTAAGGCCTAAACAAGGACGTGACGACTCCATTCAAGAATCAACTGTACGAAAATCCCGGAATGTCGTCTTATTTGTTTGGCCTGCAACAAAGCTTCACTGCTTTATTCATGTGGTGGAAAGAAGCATGCTTGAAGATTCTAGTAATTCTCTTGCATCCTTGATATCTCAACTATGAAAAGCTCCATTCAAGAGGGTGCATAGGCGTTGCCTTGAACTTGATTCAAGTCCAGACCTGTGAACCACAAGTAACTGCATTTCTTATTTGTTTAACTTCTTGTATATGTATGATATGTTACATAACGTCCTAAAGAACTTTTTTTTTTATTTCATAATTTATCACAATTATTGGTACATTTATGGAATGTGAAATCTGTTTGTGAACGAGCTGCGTGAATTATTTAATTCTATTGCAGCCCACATTGTACATGGTGATTTCAATACTATGAAATTTTTAACGTGTTGGGATTTTTAACGTATGGAGTTATGTTTCTTTGTATTTTTTAAATATGCTATGCTAATAGCTTGATATGACCTAGGTTTTTTCTCATACTAAACATAGTTTCTACATTTTTTTTGAAAAGATACAAGTGTATTTAATAGTTTTTGTCGTTCGATACAATAGTTCATAAGATCATGTACAATTATAATCATACTTGACATGTGTGTCTACTCACATAAATTAGATTTTCTACGTGACATGTCACATACTAATTCTAGTTTCAATATGATCGTTGATTTGAAATAGTGAAAGTATTTGTTTTATAACTTCTACCATTGTTTCTACTGATAGATAAAAACGTGTGTAGGTGTTGTATTGAGTGCAACAAGCTGCGTGACTTGATTTCCATGTGCTTGATATGTAACAGTTTAAGGCGCAATTTTATTTTTAACAATGTATGTAACATATCTATTTGAGTTTTGGAGCCTATTTGGAAGCAATTAATTCCACATTTTAGCCCCTGTTTGGTGCACATTATCAACTCAAAAATGCATTTTTTTTATGTAATGAAAAATATTATTTTATTGAAAATGTGTGATTGAAAATGAGTAGAAAAATGAGAATGAAAAAAATAATGTGGCTCAAACATATGCTTAATGGAAAATGTGAACATTGCAACAATATGTGAACAGTAGGTGGAGCCGCAATATTTGAAAAATCCAATGGCAACCGACTTTTTTATGTTTGAAATGTCAAAACTGTCCAATTTATGGAAATTGAATGCAACCATTTAGGGGCATTATGGTCTTTTCACCGACTTTTTTTATTCACTGCATATACCCCAGTCAGACAAGGCTACCAAAATGGGGCCCCGCGCACTGTATAGCGGTCGATTTATTTATTATAGTTTTCGAAAAATGGCGTCCAAAGAGGGGCTTGATGTGAGCACGCTTTAGAATCAAATGTAACTTGTTGTGCAATATTGTTTTAAAACAGAATATGTTACATTTGAATGCCTTTTGCAGTCATCGGATGCCTTTGTAATGATGGACGAGGTTCCCTAAAACTTTAGCATATTGACATATTCTAAAAAGACGAGGATGGAACAAAAAGATAAATAAAATTCAGCAGCGACTCCATTTGGTTGACAGATATGAGGCAAGTCCGAATTACAGTGTAGATATCTAAACAACAATTTGGGAGGAAATGATGCAAAAAAACCAATTTGGACAAAGCATTTGCATTACCCCTTATTGTGGTCAATCTAGCAGTAATTACTCGAATTAACATTTAATTTGGAATTACAATTAATGTAGGTCCGATATTTAGGAGTTCTTAACAATACTCTAGCTGTCAGCATGTTCGTGCGATTGATCAGCTTGCTGTCATACTCACAAAACCTGTTTTTGTTCAATATTTTACTCGGCTAAAGCTCGAACTTAGGATTCTTATCCCTATAACCCTTTATTTGCGGGGGAGTATTAGCACGTAATGAGTTAATCTACTTATACAAAATTGAGTTACATAAATTGTTGACAAAATATGTGTTGACAAGATTTGTACCAATGATTTCAAAAATTACTTTTTAAATTATTGGCTCAGATCTAGTCAACACATTTTTTGTCAACCATTTTGTAATTCAATTTTGTACCCACAACATTGCACAACACATAATAGACCTTTGATATTATTGGTTATTGTCTGTAAATTGTGCTTTATGAATGTGTACATGTCATAGATTTTATCTTGTGATTTATTATCCATTCATGTAGAACACCTATAGCAATCACATTCTTCTCTCTTTTTTACTTCAATCCCTATATCTTTTGTTACTACTTATTACTTCTTTATGTGGTAATTTCTTTTTACAGATGGAAAACAGTGTTATCATGGAGGCTCTGTTTTTTTAAGGGTCCGTTTGATAGGTAAAAGTGGAAAGAAATTTTAATTTCATGTTAGTTGGAAAATAAAAATCCACCAAACTCATAGGAATTCGTTTTTTCATGAAAACAAAGAAAATGCAGTTTAAAGTGATTGTACCTTAAAATTCGGTTTCTATTTTCACGTTGCAATCAAACAGTTAAAGTGAAATTCGTTTTCCTCGAATGTGACATTTTTCATGAAATTCGTTGCAATCAAGCATGGCCTAATATTTGACCTAATAATATAAAGAAAGAAGATAAGTTAGGAAATCAACTCATTTATTATTGTAGGCAATCACAACTTAAATAAGGAATTAGGAAAGGATATTCTGAACTACAAAACTAATTCTGCAAACCAATTTAGTGGACAAACTCGTGCGTGTAAATTGAGATTATGCCCTTCTTTGAGTCCCGTTTTATTAAAAATTCATTTTTTCAAAACTTATTTTCAACCACATATTCTTTAATAAAATAATTTTACGCGTAAATCAAAAGATTCTTTTCTTATTTTTCAACCACACATTCTTCAAAAATCACTATTAAAGAATACACTTTTCTTCCAAAATGAGGCCCAAGCAATGGCTAGAACTCTACTAGAAGAAGTAAAGTAAAATTTTGAAGAAAAGAACCATTTACTTTCTTAGAAAACTCCAAATTGAGAAAAAGTATACTTCCTTGGAAAACTAAGACATTCTGTATATTTTTCTTCAGGTAATGCTAGTCGACTCGCTACAATGATTGTTTCGTTAATAAAATTCATTTGATTGTTTTCTTTTTTATTTAATTATTAAAATCATGACACATATGATGTCACGTAACGCGATTATGGTAGTGACTCGCTATGAATAAGATTATTCTTTTTCTTTATTCTATGCCATTTTATTAGAACTAATCAGAATTGAACGTGTGTTACACGTTATTTTGAAATACTTTATAAGTACTAAAAAAGCAATATTTGATACAAATTTGTTGGGAAGATTTCATAAGTTCTAAACGAATCAAAGAAAATAAAATTTATGATAGAAATTTAAGAAAAGAAAATTATACTCTCAAAACTCAAGTTCTATAATTTAAATTTTTTGTATGTGAAATACTACAAATGAGCAATTTTTTTATACTACATATAGTACATAAGATTAATTGCTAATATATGAATTTAAACATCCATTAAAATTCCTAGATACTTGAATAGAAATAAATTCATCTATAATAACTCTAAATTCATATAGATCAAGATTCATGAAGTATAGATTTATTGAGTCTAGATTAATGTGAAAGTTAATTAATTGTAGTATTTATTACATATTGAAAAATTTAATGTAGTATATTATTAAAATAATCAAATTACATTAGGATTAAGCCCCTGTTTGATCCACATTATTTTTCTAATTCTCATTCTTTTACACATTTTTAACCACACATTCTTTAATAAAATAATATTTTTCATCATATCAATAATTTTTCCTTCTTTTTCAACCACATATTCTCCATCACATCAACAATAAAAATGTATTCTTACTCCCAAAATATGCACCAAAAAGATGCTAAAATCATCCAAAAAAATATTATATTTAATATATTATAGGTTAATAGACTAAGTTATCCGTACATAATGAAGTCTTCTTTCTTTATTAAAGTAGATGAAGTCAAAAAGTGAACATTCCAAAAGCTAATAGGAGAAGAGTCCTTCGGAGTTAAGAGACTAGTACAGTTTTCAATCGATTTACCATAAAATAAAATAAAAAAATGGATAGGAAAAATAGCCAAAAAAAAAAGGAATCCCTTAATATATATCATAACCCCCAATTGTAAGGATTGTGAAGAATGGCAAAAGAAGCAAATGAACCATTGATTGATGATTTTTGCTTA